TTGCGGCCTCTCAAGCGCTCAAGCCCGCGCGCTTCGCCGCTGCTGCAGGCATCCCTGGCGGCCCCCGCCCGTTTCATGGGGAGGTGAGGGCCCAAACTGTTTTTAGCTACAGGAGGGCAGGCTGAGGTTTCGGGGCGCTTGCCCCAGCTGGCTGCTGCTCCCCACGAGGCAGCACCGCCAGGCGTCTGCCTCGCGCCCAGCCCCCTTGTGATGCCACCAGCACCGGCCCCGCCTCACCTCTCCATGAAACGGGCGGCGGCCGCCAGGGATGCCTGCAGCAGCGGCGAAGCGCGCGGGCTTGAGCGCTTGAGAGGCCGCAAGGGAGCAGCCGCCCGGCGGTCTGCCTGCCCAGCGCGGGCTGGGTCGGCTGCCGATGCCTGAGGTGTTAAGCTTGGTGCTGAAATTAACGGCTGCCCTGCGCTGCCTGCCTGTGCCTGTGTCGCGATTCCTTTGCGGATACGCAGACTGTATAATAAAAAAAGCAAAAAAGCAACAAAGCAGAAGCTAGCCTGCACTTGCCATTGGCGCACCTGGGTCGTCGGGGCGGTAGTACCATCGCACCCTGACGTCGTAGCCGCTGCCAGCCTCCGCCGGTTTGATCGACATGATCTTGGCGATGAAGGGCTTTTGGTTGTGTGCGTCGCTGCATGGGCCAAAGGGGTTTCAGGGTGCAGGCCAGGCGCAGGTTACATCAATGCCGCCATGTTCGTTCGCCAGACGCACGCACCACCCGCCGCCGCAACCATTCCCCTGCCCCTGGGCAGGCGGCAGCGGGCGCACCCTTCGGCGCGGACGAAGCACGAGCTCCCCTCTGCAGCAGCCAGCACATTAACGTGTCAGGCCGGCAAAGGGGATGTCGGCCTGCCAACTACAAGCGCTGCACCCACGCCAGGCGGCAGCGGCGGCGAAGGCAGCGGCAGCAAGCGGGGCCCGCCTGTGGGCCCCCACAGCATAGATACGGGTTCCTGCTTGTGTTTTGCAGCGCAGCAAAGGCTACGGCTTGCAGCAGGACCCGCTCGCCGAGCTCAAACTTGCTCACCTCCGAGCCTGTCGCCGGCTAGCTCAATGTAATTGACCATTTCCAGCGGGTTTGTCAAGGAAGTGCGGAGGATGGGAACAAGGCCCCCAAGAGGTTTCAAAGGGCAAAGTGGCTAACAGAGCAGCAGGAAGGACGGAGTTCGCAGCAAATGATGTAGGGAAGGTGGCACGTGTGTTGAGGTGCACCCCGAGCGCCATCATCCGACAGGGCCAGCGCCTTCCCCGCCTGGGTGGCGCCCGCCTGCGCACCGCAGCCTGCTGTGCGTCGATAGGTGCAGCAGGCCTGCCAGCCTGCTGCGCGGACAGTATGGCCGCCTCATGTGGTGGAACCAATGCGAGGGCCAATCCGTTTTTAGTTACAATTACAGCTAGGCAAGCGGCATGAGCAAACCGCACCAAATCGTGAGGAAGCGCGCGCCTGCCGCTGCCCACGCGTGCACGGCAGCAGCGGGGCCAGGGCACGATAACATACACTGCTGGGGGCGCTATAAGAACAGCGTGGCCGCCTCGCTGGCGTACACCTGCTCCGCCGCTGCCCGCAGCTCCCGCAGGCTGCCTGGTGCCAGCAGCTCCGCCAGGTCATCGGGCGTGTTTTTCTCAATGCCGATGGGCAGCGAGTTGCTGCGGAGCTTCGCCATGAAGGGCTCGGCGTCGGCCGCCGGCATGCCGACAAACCTCAGGATGCGCTCGATGGTGCCGGCCCGGTCCGCCAGCAGGTCCTCGTACGCGACGAACAGCGTGTGGAAGCTCTCCGCTGCTTGCTGGCACAGATCGATAAACTGCTGGGCCTCGGCCATGCGCAGCACCAGCAGCTCCTTGAAGCCGTCTGGCGAGGGGACCCAGTTGGCCGGCAGCGAGCATTTGACGCGCTGGATGACGTTTGGCGTGCCGCAGCGCGTTGTCAGCTCCAGCGCCCGCAGGTGCGACAGCGTGCCCTTCACCTGGCTCCTGCGGTGGCTGCAGATGATCTTGGGGCGCACCCGCTCCAGCGCCCGCCACCCTGCCGAGCCGGGCAGCACGCCCGCTTCCAGGGGGCGCAGCTTGAAGCCCACCGCTTGCAGCTGGTCGTAAGCCTTGGCGGGCACAGTGTACTGGATGCTCTGGTTGCGATACCGCTCGTACACAGCGACATAGTTGCCGCTGAAATACTTGGCTGCCCGCGGATTGGCGCCCAGCCAGTCGCCCTTGGCGTTGAAAAGCTCTGAGGTGAAGAGGATGCGCGGGTGCAGGTTGAGCGCCTCCGTCATCAGGCTGCTGCCGGAGCGGGAGGACATGAGCATGAGCAGCGGCTGCGGCTGCTGCTTGGCCTCGGGTTGCGCCCCGCTGCCGCCGCCGCCGCCGCCGCCGCCGCCTTGCCCCCCGCTACCAAGGCTCAACAAGAAGACGCCCACGCTCAGCAGTATGAGGAGCATCAGCTTGACGCCAAGCGGTTTGTCCGCAGGAGGCTGCACTACATGCATGCCGGCGTTGCGACAGCCCTGCACTGGCAGCAGCGCCGGCGGGTGGCGGTGAGCAGCGGCGACAGCGAGGCGGCGCAATCCACGGCGGCGCCATCCGGTCCGAAATGGAGCTGGGGACAGGCCAGGAGAGAGCAAGCGGCCGCAGTAGCAGTTGGGGCGTTGAGCAAACTCGGCGGTCTCAACATCACGCACCTGTGCGGCGTTTACTCACACTTGCGTCACGCTGGCATTGAGTATTAATGAACCGCAGGAGAGGAGCCTTAAAAATAGAGCAGGTGGGGAACCTGAAGTTTCAACTCGTGTTGTCTGCTGCGCCGTTCATCCAGTGATGTTGATTGGAGAAGATAAAGACGTGGGAGATGCTAGTCATGGCCCTCTCAAATGCTGGCGCCACTGCAGTACCACCTTCCATGGCGTCGTGCATACCTGGCGCTATGCTAGGGATGTAGTGGCTGCTTCGAGCGGCTGGCGGGCATGCACGCATGAGGGCGCCCTGGCGTTTCTTGGGGCCTTGGTACACATGTTCTGCTCCAATCCAGCACCGCACCGCTTAGGATGGGAAGCCCTCAAAGAAGTCGCATCAATGCTGGTCAACAGTTCCAAACAGGTAAAGAAAGTAAAGGGAGGGCAGCGGGAGAGCACAGTGGTGGGCAGATCATGCCAAGGTGGCAGCCCCCTCGCTGGCATACACTTCCTCGGTCGCAGACCGCAGCTCTTGCAGGCTGGCTGGCGGCAGCAGCTCCGCCAGGTTGTCGGGCGTGTTTTTTGCCACCCCAATGGGCAGCGAGTTGCTGCGAAGCTTCGCCATGAAGGGCTCGGCGTCAGCCGCCGGCATGCCGACAAACCTCAGGATGCGCTCGATGGTGCCAGGCATGTCGGCCAGCAGGTCCTCGTACGCGATGAACATCGTGTGGAAGCTCCCGGCCGCTTGCTGACACAGATCAATAAACTGTTGGGCCTCGTGTATGCGTCCAACTAACTGCTGCTTGAACTCATCTACCGAGGGGACCCAGTCTGCCGGCAGCGAGCAGTTCATGCGCTGGATGACGTTCGGCGTGCCACAGCGGACCTTCAGCTCCAGCGCCCGCAGGTGCGACAGCGACCCCTTCACCTGGCTCCTGCGGTGGCTGCAGATGATCTTGGGGCGCACCCGCTCCAGCACGCGCCAGCCCTCGGAGCCGGGCCGCACGCCCGCTTCCAGCGGGCGCAGCTTGAAGCCCACCGCCCGCAGCTGGTCGTAGGCCTTGTCGGGCATGGTGTACTCCACGTTCTGGGCCTGGTACCGCTCATAGATGGACCTGTACCGGCCCTGGTAAAACTTCTCCGCCCGTGGGGTGGTCCCCACATGCCAGTCCGTCTCGTTGTTGAATAGCTCGGTCACAAAGAGGATGCGCGGGTGCAGGTTGAGCGCCTCCGTCATCAGGCTGCTGCCGGAGCGGGAGGACATGAGCATGAGCAGCGGCTGCGGCGGCCTGGCCGTCGAGTTGGCAGCGGCGCCGCTGCCACCTGCATTGCCACCGCAACCGCCGCTGCCGCCGCGGCTGAACGAGAAGACGGCCACGCCGAGAAGGGCGAGAAAGACCACCTTGGCAGCCAGTGGTCTGGAAGAAGAAGGCCTCAAGCGTGTGGGGCGGTGCGTGGCGTGCATCCCGGTGGACGCTACAGCCTGCACCACAACGGCAGGCCTCGGTCAGGCGGCAGCGGAGGGAGACGGGATGGCGGCGGCTGGGGACGGCACAGCGCAGCCCGATCCTGGCGCTGGCGCGACTGAAGCACCTCCTCTTGCAGAGGACGGTTCAGCCGGAGAAGGGCGCTGCAGGAAGGCACCGTGTTGCATCACGCACCTCAGCGTCTCCACTTCAATCGATCAAATCTGCCTATTGGCTGGCCAAACTTGGGAGGAAGCCCTGGCTGCTGCAAGTGCTGATGGCAACCAACAGTACATCGTACCGCCCCAACGCCCTCCAAAACTTCCACCGGATGGCCTCCGACTGGCAACACAGCGCACCATCACATTCCCGCCACCATCCCACTCCAGATTGCTGGCGGCTGGCCTGCTTCTGTGCTGGTTTGAACTGTGTGGGCTCCCTGGGCTGTGGCGTGCTAATAATTTCATCCCCGTCGTCCCACCTCGCAGCAGGATGGCGCCATACCCGCAAGGTGACTTCCCGATCACTTCATGCAAGAGCGAACAGCGTCTTCTCTCACCCTCTCCTGGCCCTGCTTGCTGCAGCGGGCCCCACGGGCACCGACTTCACCAGCGTGGGCGTCCAGGACATGATGAAGCTGTACTACTGTGAGCGCCCCGCCGCCGCCCGCCCGCAACGGCTGCCTGCCGCGCCCTCGTCCAATCCGGCCCTCGTCAAAGCCTTCCCCTTTGCTGCCGCAGCTCGCCTCTTCCCCACCCAAGAGATGGCCAAGTGGCTGGCATACGGAAACGGTGCGCGCCGCCGCTGGCTGCCGGCGGGCGCAGAACAGGCAAAGCGCCGCTCTGTGTTTGGCTGCTTCACTCGGGCCATTCACTCGTGCTGTCCGCTGCCTGCCCTCCGCAGACAGCAAGCACCCACAGAGCGACCCCTCCTTCTTCCCACGCCGCGAGTTCTGCTTCACGCTGGATGGCGACATCTTTGTGCGGTACCAGTCCTTCAAGGCAGGCAGGCCGGGAGCCGGCTGGAAGCTGGCTGGGGGCTGGGCTGGGGGCAGGCTGGGAGCTGGCGGCCTGCCGTTGCGCCCGCCGCGCGGACACCCCAGCCCCGCGTGCACAATGCGGGCCGGCCGGCCAGCCCAGCGGCGCCGCTCCCTCTGGGCGGCGTGCACCCGCAGCCAGCCAGCCAGCGCCATCCGACAAACACGCCGCGCACCGCTCGCACGCGCGCGGCATCCCGACTGCGCTCCTGCGCTCTCTGCTGCCACCGGGGCCGGCGTGTGCAGGGCGGCGCTGAGCTGGCGGCGGCGCTCAAGGACCGCTGCCCTTCCAAGCTGGACATAGGGCCTGTGTACAATGTGGAGCCGCAGCGGCGGGCAGCCTACCAGAGTGAGTCGCGGCGCTGGGGAGCCGGGGGCGCACCGCACCGGGGCCGGCACCCTCTCCCCTTCTTCCACCGCTTTCCCTTCTTCCCCACCATCATCCCCTGCTCCGTGCTCGTGCACGCGCGCGGCTGCCCTGCACCCCAGCCCGACCCGCGAGTCGAGCGCGGCGCGGCAGCCCACGCTCCTGCCCCCGCTCAAGCGTGCGGGCGGGCCCGCCGCCGGCCCCTGCCCCGCCCCCGCAGACTCCGCCCAGGGCTTTGTGCCCGTGGAGCGGGAGCTGGTGTTCGACATTGACCTTACTGATTACGACGATGTGCGCACGTGCGGCCAGGGCGGCCACATCTGCACCAAGTGCTGGCCCCTCATGGCCGCAGCCATCCAGGTGAGCCCCCCGCCGCCGCCGCCGCCGCTGAGCATGCTTCCCTGCGCCGCACAGCCTGCAGCCTGGCTGGCGCGCAAGCGGCAGGGGCTGGCTGGCTGGGGAGGGAGGAGTGAGTGTTGGGTTTGCAGCCAGGCGCCGCCGCGCAGGCTGCTCGCCAGGGCGGCCTCCCAGTGCTGCGCCCGCCCACCGTGGCCGGCCGGCCTCTCATGCTGCTGCCCTGGCCCCTGTTGCGATTAAGACACACGCACACTCACGCACGCACTCACACCACACACACACGCGCGCGCAAGCGTGCGTGCGCGCACACACACACATGCCCCCCCCCACACACACAACAGCGGACAGCACACACACACGCACACACACACACGTACACACGCACACCAGCACACACTGCTGCCCTGGGCCTGGGCCATGCTCTTGCTCTGCAGATTCTGGACCAGGGCCTGCGCCGCGACTTTGGCTTCCGACACATCCTCTTCGTCTTCTCCGGCCGCCGAGGCGTGCACTGCTGGGTGTGCGACGAGAGGTGCGCCGCGGCGGTTGGCAGCCGGGCTGCCCCGCCTGCCGCACGCCGCCCTTCCGGCCTGCCTGCGGCGTGTGCAGTCAGCTGCGTGTGGTGGCCGGCGGGGCAACAGGCGGCGGGGTCCGGCGGGCCTGTGTTCGGGGGCTGCTAGGGCGGCACGCGCCGCCGCGCCGGCCAGCCAGCCGCGCCGCTGGGCGCGCCACCGCCGTGCCCCGCCTGCCCCTATGCCCTCCTAGCTCCGATCGGCGGCGCCGCCGTCTTCATACATATTTACATACACAAAGCGGCGCCACGTTTGTGTGCAGGGCTCGCAAGCTGAGCGATGAGCAGCGGTCTGCCATTGCCAGCTACTTTGCGGTGTACAAGGGGCAAGAGCGGGGCGTGGCCAAGCTGGTGCTGACGTCTGACGACCACCCGGCTATTGCGCGCGCCTATGCGCTGCTCAGGGAGGCGTTTGAGGAGGTGGGCGGGCACACACCGGTGGCACACACCAGAGCGGCGGTCGGAGCTGGCAGAGGGCCGGCAGCCGCAGGCTGGAGGGCCAGGGGGCGGCGGCTGGCAGCAGTGGACGGGTCGCAGCGTCCGTCTCGCCCCCGCACCCGAGGTGCCGATCAGAGATGGCAGAGGGCTGGCAGCGACGCAGAGGGCTGGCAGCGGGCGACGGGTCACAGCACCCCCCTGGTCTCTTGATCAGGGCCAGGCGGGATGCGCCTGCATCGGCCTTGCGCTGCCGGCGCCTGCCCCACACCCCACCGCCGTGTGTTTTGCCCTTCCCACCCCTGCCCGCGCAGCGCATCCTGCCACAGCAGCAGCTGCTGGAGGAGGAGGAGGTGCGCAAGGCGGTACTGGCGTACCTTCCCAACGACGCAAGTGAGTCGCCAGCTGGCGCCAGCATGGCGCCAGCAGGGCCCGCCTCGGCCCGCCGCCGTGGCTGCCAATGCAGCCGGCGCTGCGAGCAGCCCGCTTTGCCTGTGTGAGTGCCGCGCGCGTGTTGTGCCCGCGTGCCTGCTGCGTGCAGTACGGAGTGCGGTGCGGCAGCGGTGGCAGGGCGTGCACGGCAGCGAGGCGCGGTGGGAGGCGCTGAAGGAGGAGGTGGAGGCGGAGGCGCAGGTGGGGCGGGCGGCCCCGCCGCTGCGGTACATGCATGCGGTACAGCCAGCCCCAGGCGACACCCCATCCAGCCAGCCCTCGCCGCGGCTGGGCTCGGCCTCGCGCGTGCCGAGCAGCAGCAACCGCAATAGCTGCCTTTTTTCCAACAGCAGACCAAAGCGCCTCTTGCGTTGCTGCTGTTCTCAACCAGCGCTGGTCCCCGTGGCTCGCCGCCCCGCCCCGTGCCGTGTGCTGCTGTTTCTGACGGCTGCTGTTCTCCTGCTTCGCCGTCGACCTGCCGGCTGCGTTGCCGCCCGCCCCATGCTGCTGCGTTGCCATTTCCGAGCCTCTGCCGCGGTCCTGCTGTGGCCCTGCCGCGCAGGCGCTGGAGCGGGGCAAGAAAGGGTGGGAGGCGCGGGCGATGCGGCGGTCGCTCAAGGCGGTGGTCTTTGCCTGCGCCTACCCTCGCCTGGACATGGAGGTGTCCAAGAAGATGAACCACCTGCTCAAGGTTTGTGTGTGTGTGTGTGTGTGTGGAGGCGGAGGCTGAGCGGTGGGGGAGGGCTGAGATGGGGGTGGCGGCTGGGGGGAGGCTGGGTGGTGGGGGAGGGCTGGGTGTAGGGGCGGCTGGGTGGTGGTGGAGGACTGGGAGGCAGGGGCGGCTGTGCTGGGGGTGGAGGCTGGGAGGCGGGGATGTGCTGGGCCCTGCTGCGCTGCGCTGCCCCGCTGGCGCCGCTGCGCTGCCGGCGCCCGACTCGGCGCCCACGCCTGCCGGCTGCCATCGCCCGCCTGCCTGGCCCGCTTTCCACCTGGGTAGAAACAGAACGCGGAGCTGGCTCGTTGCGGCACTGCCCCACCCGCCATGCAGGCGCCCTTTTGTGTGCACCCCAAGACGGGCAAGGTGTGCGTGCCTGTGAGGCCGGAGGAGGCTTATGAGTTTGACCCAGACACCGTCTGCACCGTGGGCGGCCTGCTGAACCAGCTCAACAGCAGCGGCAGCGCGGCGGCGCAGGTGTGGCCCGCGGCTGCGCCGCTGCTGCGCCGCGCATGCAGCGCCGGGTGCAGGGCGCTGGATGCATGCCGCTGTTTGCTGCTTTGATGCTGTATCCGGGGGCCCTCGGCAGTGCGCTGCCCGGGTGGCGCAAGCCTTCAGACCCGACCGCAGCCGGCCTCTCGACCTCCCGCTGTAGATGTGTGGAGCTGCGACCGCGCTGCCGTGTGGCGGCGCACGCTGACAGGCCCGCCGCTACCGCTGCCGCGCCGGCGCCGCCGCCTGGTGTGCAGGGCGAGGAGCCGTGGCGGGCCACAGACATGGGGCTGGCGGTGGACACCTTCCGGCAGTGCCTCCTGGATGGTCTGCAGGAGGAGGTGAGGGCGGGACTGGCGCGCAAGTCGCGGGCGGCGGCGGCGGCGGCGGAAGCCGGCCTGGCCTTCTGACGGCGGCGGCAGCTAGGGGCAAGCGACCAGCACGGCCGCAATGTGGCAACAGCCGTGCTGCCGCCAGGTGCCGGTGGTGCCTCTACAAACATGGTAGCTCGTGCATTTGATTACACTCTGCAACAGCTCCACACACGGGGACTGCATGTTCGCGCCGACTGGCGCTGCTTGTAACCCGCCCATCAACCGCCCGAGCCAGCCCTGTGCTGCCGTGGGCTGGGCCGCGAGCTGGGGCCGCCCCGCCGTTACTGGGCCGCCGCCACACTGCCGTGACCTGGCGCCATCAAAAAACAAATCGTCGTCTTGCTGGGCCGCCACGGAGCGGGGCGGACCAAACACCGTTAAAACCAAACTGGCTTCTTTAATGCGCCGCCACGCTGCCGTGCACTGGAGCCATCCCGCCTCTACTGGGCCGCCACGGAGCGGGGCGGCACAAACACGACGTCCGACCACTCGCCCCGGTCGTCGCGCTCCATGCGCCCAATCACCTCCTCCAGAGACCCCACATCCACCCGCGGCAGCTTCTGCAGGCGTGGGGGGCAGGCACGCGCCGCGGCAGGGCATAATGATTGAATTTGGCAGTCACATCTTCTGTTTAAGCTTTAGTAACGCACGTGCACGGTCGAAGGCAGCGGGGGCCTGCCAGGGCGGCGCGGCTGGTCGGGGCGGCGCCGCCGGGCGACAGGCATGCGGGGACAGGTGGCGGCCGGCCGGCGGGGCGCCAGCGGGCGGCGGGGCCCCTGCCAGGCGCAGGCCCGCCCCACCTTGTTCGTGGCTGCCTCTGCAATGCGCTGCTCGTACTTCTGCAGCCGCTCCTTAGCTTGCCCCGCCTTGCGCTGCGCCGCCTTGCGGCCCCGCTCCGCCGCCGCCGCCGCCACCTGAAGGCGAGCGCGGGCGGGCAGGCAGGAGGGCCCCGGTGCGTGCGGCGTCAGCCCCATGTGCACACAAGCCTCGCCAGCAATCGGCCTCTGACCACACCCCCATGCACTCGCCCAGCGCCAGCGCGGCGACGTTGGGTGCCTGCATGACTCTCATGCGAGCATACACTCCCATACACTCCCACCGCGTGCTCTCATGCCTCTGATGGATGCATGCCTGCATGCATGCAGGTGCGCCACCCACCTCCCCCTCCGCCGCCTGCAGCTCGCCGCGCGCCCGCTCTGCCTTGGCCCGCGCCTCTGCCAGCGCCGCCGCGTCCTTGCTGCTGAAGGCGGCACCCAGCGCAGAGTCCAGGTCTTGCTTGCTGCATGAGGCCGGGGCAGGGCAGGGCACTCAGGCAGGACCAGGCAGGACCGAGCAGGGCTGGGCAGGGTGGGACAGGTAAGCAGGACGGTGGCACAGCAGGCGGGCAGGCAGGCGGGCGGGCAGGCAGGCAGGAGCGGGGAGCAGGGCAGGCGCAGGACAGGAGCAGGGCAGGGAAGCAGGGCAGGGCCGACTTGTCGGGCGGGCTCGCAGGACTGGGGGAGCCAGCGCCCGCGCAGGGCCCTCGGGTTGTACCGCTGCGCACCTGAAGAAGAGCGGGGTGTACCGCTCCTTCTCCCCCCTGATGGTTAGCCCCTCCGCCTGGAACAGCGGCACGCCCTGGAAGCCGGTGGCGGGCACGCCGGCGTGGCTGTACAGCTGCGGGACCAGGCAGTACAGGACGGGGCAGCGCACGGGGCAGCGATCATTGATGGGAGGGATAGGTAATCGTATGGTGGCTGTGCAGCTGTGGGGTGAAGCAGTACAGGGCAGGGCAGCAGGGCACAGATGATTATAAAGGGGGACTACACCCGCATGAGGCAGGGCAGCACGGGGCAAGGCAGGGCGTAGGGTCGGGCGTTGCACGGATGGGGTGCAGCAGCGCAACACGGGGCAAAATGAGCAGCCAGGGCGGGGTGCGTGCAGCAGCGCAGGGCGGGCCAGCGAGGGGCAGGGCAGCCGGGGGTGGCACACGCGCCAGGTGGCCACAGGAAGAGAGCCAACACCCCCAGCCCCAGCATACAGTCCCAGCCCACAGTCGAAGCCCCAGGTCGCCAGCCCCAGGCGACCCCTACCAACCCCCTGCGCCTCGCAGCCACACCTGCAGCCACAAACACGCTCACACAACCCACACACACACACACACACACACCTCCCCTGGCCCCACCTCCAGCGCCGACTCCACCTGGCGAGGGTCGGGCACAAAGCGGAACACCACGCCCTCTGTGCCCGTCTCGCCGCGCGGGGTGGCCGCAAACTCGTACACCCGGTCCATGCTGGTTGCCATGACCTGGGAAGAAAGGAGGGAGGGGAGGCGGAGGGTGAGGAGAAGGCGGCTGGGGGGAGGGAGGAGAGGCGGGGGGGTGAGGAGAAGGTGGTTGGGGGATGGGGAGGGGTGGCGCGATGGCCGTGCGGGGGCGCGGCGCGGGCGGATGATGTGGCAGTCAGTCACCTTGGCCTGCTTGCCCAGCTTGGGGTTCGCTCCCTTGATCTACAACAGTGTAGATCAGGGCGGTTAGCTGAGTCTTGAGGTGGTTTAGGTTTGCTGAGCTCAGAGGGCCTCAGAGCCCTGAGGGCGGTGCTCGAAAGCGGGCCGCCACACCAGAGAGGCATGCGGGGTGCACCACACAAACCACAACAGGGCAAGGCAAGGCCATGGGAGCAGCGGGCGTCCGCCCCCGGGCCGCCCGCCCGCGCCCCCAGGGCTGCCCCCGTCCCGCCCGCCACCCACCGTCTGCAGCATGGCCGAAGCCTCTGGCTCTGAGAAGAAGAAGAGGCCCAGCTGCTTGGCCTGGTCCTGCACCCACCAGGCGGCAGCTCGCTTGCGATCATTCACACCTTCCCATCACTCACACCTTCCCATTCATACCGAGCCAACTACACCAGCAAGGCGACCCGTGCGGCGACGGGCTGGGCAAAGGAGCAGTGCGGCACGGCGGCGCCTGCTGGCTCAGCCACCGTCGCACGCACCTGCAGCTGGGCGGGGTAGCCGCATACCTGCCTCCCCAGGCACCCAGCACGGCCCTGCGGCTGGCAAGCACCCACCTCCCCCGCCACCAACACAAACTCGTTCTTGTTGTTGACCACCGCAAAGACCGGCACCGCGCTGAGGCGGGCCTTGATCGTCTCTGGGTTGAAGCCCAGGTCGAACAGGGGCTGGGCGGCGCCTTCGGCCGGCCGCCCGGCGCCGCCACCCGCCTGCGCGCTCACCGACTGCACAACACACCAAAAAGGGGGCGGCCGAGCGGTCTTAGAGCGTGGGCGGTGGCGCTGGAGTGTGCAGCACGCGTCCGGGAAAGATGGCAGCTGCGTGGGCGGTGGGCAGGCTGGAACAGGGCGAGCAGGCGGCGCCTCACCGCGAGCAGCGGCGCGTTGCCGGGCGGCGGCATGAGCGCCTGCTGGCACAGCTCCGCCGCGCGGCTGCTGGCCTGCCGCAGGTTGGAGGCGATCTGCGCCACGTTGCGCCGCACATTGTCGTGCAGGCTGCGCAGGTCCATCGTGAGCGTGGCCAGATGGGCTCGCTCGGTATTGCGTGCTGGCGATCCCGATACAGCGCTCACGGATGCCACCGATTCGGCCGGCGAATTGAGAATATCGGCGACAAGCAATACCTCTGACAGTACACCGAGGCTCCAAGACCCCAACAGAGCAGCACGAGCTCCAAAAGACGACACCTGCATTGGTTGAAGGCCGCTGCCGCCCACCGAGCCAGCGAATCCTGCCCAAGTTTTTGAGTGCCGAGAACAGCCACTGGCAGCCTGCCTTTTTGTGCAAAAGGTGAGCTCCCGACGCGCCGTGTCGCCACAGCCCTCGCACCCGCCATCGCCGCCTGCTCGCCCGCCCGCCTCTCCGCCCCGCCACCCGCCCGCCCTCCCCCCCGCCGCCCGCAGGCCGCCTCGCCCGCCATGTCGGCCACGGCGCAGGCCACCCGCAACGAGATCACGCTCAAAGGCTCGGTGGCCACGGTCAGCGAGTTCTTCCGCCACGCGCTCAGCTCCATCCTCTACCAGCGCGGCATCTACGCCCCGGAAAGCTTCGAGCCGGTCAAAGCCTACGGCCTGACCGTGATGGCGGTCAAGGATGTCAAGCTGACCGCCTACCTGCAGGCCGTGCTGGGGCAGTTCTCAGGCGCGCGGGAGTGGGCCCGCAGCCCCGGGGCATGCTGTTGCGGGGAGGCCCCAGGGACCACAGCTTCCAGCGGCGGCCCTGCAGGACAGCACTAGCGTCCTGCCCGCTGCCTGCTGCCTGCTGCATGCTGCATGCTGCCCAGGAGGACCCCGCTCGGGCAAGCCTGTGGCGCGTTCAGCACTGCGCCCTGTGCCTACCAGGCGTGTGCCGCCCCCGCCTGCTGCCCTGTCAGCAGAGTGGCTGCAGGGCGGGGCGCTGCAGAAGGTGGTGCTTGTGGTGACGGGTGTGGCCTCAAAGGAGGTGCTGGAGCGGTGGACCTTTGACATCCGCACCGACAAGGGGGTGGTGGCGGGCAGGTGAGGGGTGGGCCTAGGGGGGTGGCTGGTTCTGGGCTGGCTGCGTCCCTTGGGGCGGCTGTGTCTCTGACTGTGGGCGCGGCTGGGCGTGCCACTGTGTCGGGTGGATGAACATGGTGCCTGCGGGAGGTGGCAGCCGCTGGCGCTCGGCGTCGCCCATGCCGCCCTGCCACAGCCCGCACCCGCGCCTAGCCTCGCAGCCACGGCGTGTTGCTCTCCTCAAAACGTCCCCCAGTAACAGCAGCATTCTTTCTTGGTTGCTGAGCATGGATGCTGAGCATGCCCGCCCTAAAGACCTCCAACCCTGCAACCCTTGTGCCTGCTGCGCGTGCAGCGCGCCGCTGCCCGAGAAGGCGGAGGGGCAGATCACGCAGGAGATCCAGGCCATCATCCGCCAGATCACCGCCTCCGTCACTTTCCTGCCGCTGCTGCAGGACAAGTGTGAGCGCTTTCCTCATGCCGCTGCCGCTGCCGCCGCTGCAGGGCAGGAGTGTGCGCCTTCCTGCTGCCGCTGCTGCTGCAGGGCACGCATGCGCGCCCCCCTGCTGCTGCTGCTGCTGCAGGGCACGCATGAGCGGCGCGGCCTGCACAGCACAGCGCCCGCCTGCCTGCCTGCCTGCCTGTGCCGCGCCGCGTGTGTCCAGCGGCCGCGGCAAGCACAGCCAAGCCTGGCAGCTCTCTGACGCCCGCCTGCCCTGCTTGGTTGTTGGTGTGTGTGGGCAGGCACGATAGACCTGCTGGCGTACACGGACAAGGAGAATGCGGTACCGCTGGACTGGGAGGAAAGCGACCCGCGGTACATCGCCAACGCCGCCGACGTCAAGCTGCGCGCATTCAGCACAAAGGTGCGCTGGCGTCCAGCTGCAACCTGCGGCACATGCCAATGCAAAGGCTTGGCCAAGCTGGCGGTGTGCCTGGGCCTCCGCCCCTGGGCCCCTGACACATGCTGCATGGTATGGCAGTGGCATGTGGCGCTGAGTGGTGGCCTGCCTGCCCGTGGCGTGTGTAAGTGTGTGCGTGCCTGTGCTGCAGGTGCACAATGTGGAGGCGCTTGTGTCCTACAAGGCAGACGACGACCTGCTGTAGCGCCCCATCATGAGATCTGCTGGCGCGGCATGCCAAATATCAAGAGCGTGCGGCACGCATTGTCCACAAACGATAGCAAACCACACTGCAGAAACAATGTGTCTACATATGAAACAGGCGTCTCGCCGTTTAACGCCACATGGGGCGGCTGTGGCAGCCCTACGTGCCGCGCTCCAGGCGCCGGGCCGCAGCCTCGGCCTCCAGCTTGGCCGCCCGGCGGCGCCGCCGGTGGCTCCACCTGGCGGGATCGTCGTCTGCGGGCATCCAGCCGGGGGGCGAGGCGATGCTGCCCGCCGCCCGCTGCACCGCTGCCTGCGCCGCCCGCAGGATGTCAGAAGCCTCCACCCCTGCCGCTCGGCAGCGGGCTGCGGTGGGAGCCTCCAGGGCGCGCTTCCCGCTCCGCCCCGCTCGCGCCGCCGGGCAGGGTTGGGTGGCGCAGCCGCTGCCTGGCTGCCCGCCGCCGCCCGCCTGCTGCTGGCTGCTGCCTGCCTGCTGGTCCACCACCGGCGCGCCAGGTTGGACGCGGCGGAACAGCCGCACCTGCTCCTCCTCGCCCTGCCGGCCGCCATCGGCTGCCTGCGCCGGCGGCGGCGGCGGCTGGGCGGCGGCCGCTGCTACCTCTTCCAGCTCCTGCTGCAGGCGCTGCTGCAGGGCCTCCGCCACTTTCAGTTGCGCCGCATCCAGAAGGCACGAGTCGCCGCCGGGGTCGCCGCCTGCGGCCGGCACCGCACCCAGCACGCCGCCGCCGCCTGCGCGGCGCTGCCGCGCCCGCGCCTGGCGCCGGCGCGCGATCTGCGTAGAACAAGAGGAAGGGGCAGGTGGCATGTGGCTCAGGGGAAGGAGTCCCTCGGGGGTGTTGGTGGGGTGCAGGTGCCAGCCGTGGCGGCAGGAGAGCGGCAGACGGCTGGCGGGCACCAATCATGTGCCGCACCTCCTTGCTGCTCTCTGCATGCTGCTCCAGTGTTTCCGCCGACACAACTGCTGCCGCAAAGCGCCCCACATCCTCGTCGCTGGACGACATGCCTTCCCAGTTGGGTGCCTTCCCAGGCACTGGCTGGTGACGACGAAGAAGAAGAATGACGCACGTGGGTGAGCTTGGGGGGGATGCGCCGAAGGCCGGCAGCACGACAAGCACGGCAAGAGGCCGGCGGAGGGCCGCCAAGCTGGCGGCCGCGCGGCGGCGGCCTGGCGCCTGCAGCCCGGCGCGCAGGGCTGCCACAGCCATCCCATGTGGCGTTAAACGGCGAGACGCCTGTTTCATATGTAGACACATTGTTTCTGCAGTGTGGTTTGGGGTTGTTTTTGCTATCATTTGTGGATAACGCGTGCCGCACGCTCTTGATATTTGGCATGCCGCGCCAGCAGATCTCATGATGGGGCGCTACAGCAGGTCGTCGTCTGCCTTGTAGGACACGAGCGCTTCCACATTGTGCACCTGCAGCACAGGCACGCACACACTTGCACACGCCACGGGCAGGCAGGCCACCACTCAGCGCCACATGCCACTGCCATACCATGCAGCATGTGTCAGGGGCCCAGTGGCGGAGGCCCAAGCACACCGCCAGCTTGGCCAAGCCTGTGCATTGGCATGTGCCACAGTTTGTAGCCTGGCCCAGGCTGCAGGGCGCCGGCCGCGCCCTCTGCAGGAAACGGTAAACGGAGGCTGCCCGACAACTGTCACGGAAGGCGGCCTCGACTCCGTCTGCGCTGCTGCATGCGGCGGCAGCACAAGGGCCGCTGCTGCTGCAGGTGGCGGGCACGAGGGCGGCGCTGCTGCTGCTGGCAGTGGGTGCACGGGCGGCGGCTGTTGTGCTTCACGCACAGCGTGCTCAGGTGCGCCTGGCGGCTGCACGCCCAGGGGCGCTCCCGTGAGGTGCCCCTTGCTGGCCAACTGTGCGCTTGGCCCCGCGCAGACAGAGATGTTTGTAAGCCTGGGCCTTGAGGCCTCTCTCTGCTAAAATCTGTGTATCCGGCGGGGGCGGCGGCGCGCCAGGCGAGCAATGCACGCTGTGCGACGCTGCGGCTCTGAGGTGCCGGTAACTTACTTGAAGTCTCGTTTGTGTCGCGCCTCATCACACCCATCGCTTGCCCTGCCTTTCCAGGCGCGCGGAGCGTGGATGGTTCTGGTGATGCTGCAGGCTGCGTGCTTGTGCGCCGCCCTGTGACCGTGGTCTGCCGTGCCCTCTGTGTGACAGCAGAGCAGCTCCCCTGCCACCCCAATTCCCAATTCCCAACTCACAAATTTTACTTCTTCGAACGAACGAATCAATCAAAGCGCGCCCACGGATATTCGAACAGTCTGCAGATATTTTCATATCAGCAGACTGACTTTTCACCCACCTGTCACAGATTTTCCCTCGCCCGTTCGTTTTTTGCCGGCAGCTGGCTAGCAGCCAGACTATATAAGGAGCCTCGATGCCCTGACAAGATCATCTTTTCTCTCCCTTTGTGCTGGAGTGCCCCTGTGTAACAGGCGCCCGCCGCCCTAGCCCCGCCCGAAGGAGAAGGATCCTGCCGCTGCGACCAGCGCTCGACAGTCACCCCAGCGCTCTCACGAGGCTCCCCGCTCTCACACAAAGACAAAACAGGCCGGCCGGAACCTTCTGGACCCGCACCACCTTTTTGCACCACACTCTGCGGTCTGCCGCCTGCCTCGCAGCAGTCAGCGAGGACCCCGTGCCAACTGAGCAACATTGGCAGTGTGCAGCATCCATGTTGTGCAGAACAGCATGCCATGTGAAACAAGTGGAAAGAGCCTGCACTGATGAGCGGTGCAGGTCTGCCCATTCAATGGATCATGCCCAGCCACCGCGCGCGCCCCCCTTCTCGCTGCCCCCGCCGCCCCTCAGTGTCCATTGGCGGCAGCATGGGGCTGCGCGAACCGAGCGCTCAAGGGTGGGTGGCGTCTTTGAGCCACTTGCGCCATATGCTGGCAGCCCTGGCCCTTGATCCCCACTCTCCCTGATCTTGCCCCCCGTTTCCCCTCCTCACAACTCTCTGACAGTCACTGGGCTGGCTCCCCGGCACCCTCCGCTGCCCCTGCTGCCTGCTGTTCCGATGAAATCTTCGCAGCCCCGCGCCCCGCCACCCTTTTTGTTGCTTTGTTTCATAGTCGCATTGTCCAGAGGTAGTGGGCCGCGCTTGCAAGCGCACAATTGTGTGCCTCCAGCCCTTTAAAGGGCCCAGTACTCTGGCCCATCTCAGTCGGGCGCACGGCCACCCCCCGCCACACCAGAGCAGGATGGGGAATCACAGTTTGCAGCAAGCAGCCGGACCAGGTGCCAAAGGCTGCATGTATGAAGAGGACTTGGACAGCGGGCGCTGGCGGGGCAGCGGACGGCCGGGCAGCCGCCGGCCAGAGGCAGGGCTGCCTGGTCGGCCAGGCGGCTGCTTGCCGCCTGCTTGGGGCCAGGGATCTTGCTTGCGCAGCTGCCCAGGAACTGCGAGGCCGGCTGCAGGCAGGAGGCGGTTCAAAGCTGTCGTTCGAAGCTGAGCAGCTTTTCTCTGCCTGAGGGAGCTGCCTGAGACAAATGGGGCATGTGGCCTCGCCCTGTGTGTGGAGATCATCGAGGCAGGAGCCATCAAGCAGCCAAGTGGTCCAGCGTGTCATGCATTTCAACAACGACGGCAGCTCCTGAGCCATCTTGCTTAATTCAAAGGCTTGCAGCCGACTAGGGTGCCTCACGGCACGGCCTGGGGACAGCTCGACAGGGTCCTGTATCTCAACGGAGAGCGGGTGCACGCCAATGCCGTGATCGTAGGAAGGATAAGGGTAGGCAACCCCCAGAGCAGCGCCGGGCTGCAACTCCGTGCCGACTTGAACGCTGCCTGCAGTGGGCTGCACCGAGGCTGTGGCAGGGCCCACGCGCACTGCACAGCGCCAAGTGGATCTTGGTGGCTCTCCCGATGCGGCAGCAGCCGCCGCGACGCCCGCCGCCTCGCCACGCCGCGCGGGCTCACCCCACGCCCGCCCCGCGCTGCGCCGCAGATGCCGGGTCAGAACCAGATCGGCGACTACAAGCTCATCGAGCTGGCCGGGGAGGGCAGTTTCGGCAAAGTGTGGAAGGCGCGGCGCGCGGGCAGCCTGCAGACGGTGGCCGTCAAGCTCATCACCAAGCACGGCAAGAACGACAAGGACCTGCGCTCGCTCCGCCAGGAGATTGAGATCCTGCGCAAGCTGCAGCACCCAAACATCATCGCCATGCTGGACGCCTTTGAGACCAAGAACGACTTCTGCGTGGTCACCGAGTTTGCGCAGGGTGGGTGCCGCCTCTTCTTTGTGGGTGGGGTGACGTCGAGAACGTGGCGCCGGGCGTTGCGGCGTTGAGAATCTAGCCACGTTGCGGCCGGGTTGCTGCGGAGGTTGCGCAGGGCGGGTGGCTGGCTGCTTGCTTTCTTGTTGTGGGTGGACCGTGAGGACTGCAGCGGCGTGGTGGCCGGGTTGCTTTGTATCCGGGAGTTTGTGCCGGGCGGGCCAGCTGGCTGTGGCCGTGATGGGCTGGCTGTGGCGGACGCGTGGGTGGGTGGCTGCGCCCGCCACACCTCACACCGGCATCCGGCGGTGCGCTGCACCGCGGCTGCGTCGGGGGTGGCCAGTCGGAGGTGCAAGCGGCCGTGGGCATCAGCCCGCAACCAATACCGAACAGTGGCTGTCCAGATGTCCCAGCACGCAGCCGGCACGCTAGCCTCCCGCCTGACCTGCCCCCTGCCCCGCCCGCCTCCCGCCCCTCCTCACCCCCTCCTGCAGGCGAGCTGTTCCACATCTTGGAGGACGACCGGTGCCTGCCCGAGGGGGTGGTGCGCAGCGTGGGGCGCCAGCTGGTGCAGGCCCTTCACTACCTGCACACCAACCGCATCATCCACCGGGACATGAAGCCCCAAAACATTCTCATCAGGTGCGCGGCAGCCCAGCAGGCCGAGGGGCAGGCGTGTGCGTGCATGCACGGTCCCCACTGCAGCCGCCGGGCGGCCCCCTTGCTTGCTTGCGCCGGCAGCGCGAGGCCTGCACGCCGGGGGGAAGAGGACGTGCGACGCCCGCTGCCTGCCTCGCATGCATGCTCCCCGCATGCGCCCGGCTGCCCCGCCCTGCCTGCTGCCCAGCCTGCCCCGCCTGCCCTGCCTCTGCCCCGCCCTCCCCCCCCCCCCTTCCCCCCCGCAGCGCCAACGGCGCCGTCAAGCTGTGCGACTTTGGCTTTGCGCGCCTGATGAGCAGCAACACTCTGGTGGTGACGTCGATCAAGGGCACCCCGCTGTACATGGCGCCGGAGCTGGTGCAGGAGCAGCCCTACAACCACACGGTACGCTGGTGGTGGTGGGTGGTGGGGGTGGGGGTGGGGTGGGGGGTCGCGTGCGTGGGGTGTGGGCGGCGTTCCCGTCGCCTGCTTTGCTTCCTGGGCTGGAGGGGTGGTGAGGGGGAGAGGGCTGGGCTGCGGGGGCAGCCTAGCAGCCACCCAGCGGGGCTGGGGAGCGGAGGTTGGCGGCGGGAGGGCGTCGAGCACGGGGATGGGAGGCGGGGGCGGGTTGGGGCGGCCAGGTGGCCCTGCACCCGGCGCCGCGCCACGCGCCACACCGCATTCACCCTTTGCGTTGTTTCCTTTCTTCCTTGTGCTCCCATGCAGGTGGACCTCTGGTCCCTGGGCGTCATCCTGTACGAGCTGTTTGTGGGACAGCCGCCCTTCTACACCACCTCCATCTACACCCTCATTAAGCAGATCGTGCGGGAGCCAGTCAAGTTCCCCGACGGCATGTCGCCGACCTTCACCTCCTTCCTGCAGGCGCGCCTCACCTCCTTCCTTCCTTTCTTGCTTCCTTTCTTGCGTGCTTTCTTTCCTTGCGCCTTCTTCGTTTTCCCGTCCACCCAGCGGGTCCGGTGCCTGCCCAGGGCTGCTTTGTGCATGGGCTGCCGGGTGCTGGCCGCCTGCTAGGTCCTGCGCTGCCGCTCGCTCGCCATCTGCCCGGCCTCAGCCGCCCCCGTTCCTGGCTTGTTGTTCTCAATGCCTGTCCCAAACCCCAGGCTGGCCATGCCGGTCATGGTGACCAGTTTTGGGCTGCAGCAGGCCACCACTACCAAAGTGCCCCGACAGCTGGCAGCTCCCTGACGGCGCCTGCCCCGGCCTGCCGCGCATGCGCGCTTTCCTCCCTGCCTGCAGGGCCTGCTGGAGAAGCAGCCGTCGCTGCGTCTGGACTGGCCCCAGCTGCTGGACCACCCTTTCCTGGCGGAGACGGCGGCCGACAAGGAGCGGCAGGCTCGGGATGCGGCCATGGATGGGCAGCGGCTGGACCCAGGCTCCGCCCCCACGCTGCAGTCTGGGGTGCAGGGGGGCAGGCCGGCAGGGGATGGCGGCGACCAGGGTGGGTGCCCGCTGTCCACCTGGGTCCCCGCTCTCTTCCTGCTCTGCCTTCCTGCTCTGTCTTCATGCTCTGCCTTCCTCGGGGCATGCCTTGCCTGGGCGTCTGGGGGTGGCCTGCCCTTGCAGCAGCATGCGGGGGTGCTGCCGTTGAAGGCACACTGGAGCTGTCGCGCAGCCTCCTCCTGCCAACACTTACCACCCTGTTGCGTTGCTGCTACCCCCCTACAGGCCAGGCCTGCGTGACGCCGCTGATCAAGGGGCAGCCGCAGCAGCGGGGCGACCCGCGGCAGGGCAGGCAGCAGCAGCCCGCGGGGCAGCGGCAGCGGGAGCAGCAGGAGGCGGCGCAGGGGCCGGCCCAGGCGGCTGCGGCTGCCCCCGCCGAGCAGCAGCAGCAGCAGCAGCAGCAGCCCTCTCCCTGGACCGCCCCGCAGCTGCTGCAGCAGCTAGGCCAGCTGTCGGCCGCCGAGCCGGCGCCTCAGGCGCCGCAGCCGGGCGCCGGCACGGCCGCCGCGCAGCAGCAGCCCGCATCCGCGCCAGCGGCCCCCAAAGCCGCGCCCAAGCGCGCCGGCAGGGATCCGCCTCTGCAGCAGGCGCCGCCCGAGGGGCCCAACCCATTCCTGAATGGCACCCAGGGCTTCCCCTCCGCTGGACCATTTGGCGACCAGCCGCTGCATCGAGCTGGGGGAGCGGCGCCCGCACCTGTTGGCACAGCAGACCACAGCGCAGACCACAGCGCAGACCACAGCGCCCTGCTGCCCATCACCCGCGTCGTGCACCACCACCGCAGCGACAGCCAGGCGCTGCCGCCGCCGCCCGCCGCTGCCGCCGAGCAGGCGGATCCGGGATTTGCCGACCCGCCGCAGTTTGCTGCGCACGCGCCCCAGGTGAGCTTCTGTTTGTGTGTGTGTTTAAACAGTGCTGCACGACCGTCACAGAATGCCCCCCTTGCGTACCTGCTTGCCGGCCTTGCTCGGCTGTGCGGGCTTCGCCCGTGGCAAGGCCTGTGGCTGGGGCGGAGACTGACGGGGGTGGCCACCCCGCCGCGCCGCTCCGCTCTGCCATGCAGGCCGCGCCGCCGCCGCCGCCGTCACCGACGGTGCAGCTGCTGGAGCGGGCGGCGCGACGCGCGGGCGAGGGCGAAGGTGAGCAGGGTTAGGGCGAGGGCGAGCAGCGGCAGCCGGGCCGCACCCCTGCGCCCTTATTCAATTCTCCCCTGGGGTGTTGCGCTCCTGTGCACTGCCGGTGTCAGCGGGATCGGCAGGGTTGCGGTCTGGCTGGCCAGGGGGGGTGATCCACCCCGGCCGCCCCATCCCGACACACACACACACACGCACATGTCCCGCCGGTGCTGCAGCCGGCGTGGGCGCGTGCTGGGGCGACGCAGCGCTGGTGCAGGTGCTGCACGGGGTGCTGCTGCCGCCCGCCACCAACCTGCTGCTGCTGCAGTGGAGCCGGCAAGAGGAGCTGCTCAAGGTGGGGGCCGCCAGCCTGGCGCCAGCACAGCACGAGCAGCATGTACTGCATGTACCGCATGTGCTGCCTCCTGTCTGTGCTGCATGTGCTGAATGTACTGCATGTACAGCCTGTACCGCATGTACTTGCCCCCCGCGTCCACGGGTTTTAGCAGCGGGATGCATTGCTGGTCTGGCCTGGCTACGGCGCAGGCAGGCAGGCGGGCAGGGCGGGTGCGCCGGTACTGGCGAGTACCAACCCGCCGCCCGCGTGCCCGCCGTTCCCCACCCCACCCTGGCCCGGCCTGCAGGCCCTGCACCTCGTGCGCCGCATGCTGCAGCAGCCGGCGGCGGCACGGGTCGACGAGTGCGCCAGCCTGGCGCGGCTGGCGCTACAGGTGGCCTATGCCGCGGTGGCGGTCAGCGAGCAGGCGGTGTGTGCCGCGCTGGAGGCGCTGCGTCACGTGCGCATCCCAGGTGCGACCCGCTGCCCTGCGCACCTGCTGGCTGCTCTTCACTGTGTGCTGTGCCGGTCTTCACTGCTGTCCTGCGCTGCTGCTGCCGCTGCTCTGCTGCTGCGGCCGCTGCTGCGCTCCTCCTGCCGTGCCGCTGCTCAGCTGCCTGCCGGCGTGCCGCGCGTCGTGGCTGCGCTGCCGCCAGCAATGCGCGGGATGGCCGTGCCGGCTCGCCCGGCGTGCGCGGCTGCTGCTCCCGCTGCTGCTGTGGCTGTGGTCGCGGCGGCGCTGCGAGCGGGGTGGCGGCCCGAACCGACAAGGCCGACCCACGGGCTACCGGCAGCTGCCTCCCCCACCCCTCGCCTGGCTCCCGTGCCAGCAGCTGTTCCGCCAGGGCCTTTCGACATATCAACGGTACTGCCTGATCCTCGGTACAGGGCTGGACCATGAGGTGGTAGTGCTGTACTGCGAGCTCATCAGCCACAGAGGCGCCTGGAGCATCAACGCGGGCGGCTGCCGCGGCCTGGCGGAGAGCGGCTCGGCGGCGGCGGCCGCGCTGCTGTCGCGCGGCACGCAACCCGCAGCGCAGCAGTGAGGCTGGGCAGTGCAGGCCAGGCACATGCGCACTGCGCCAAACCCCGTCTGCGTGCCTCGCTGCCGGCCTGCTACTGCTGGCACCAGCTTTTTGCGTTTTGCCAAACCTTCCGCCCGCTGCCCTGCCGTGTCTGCCGTGCAGGAGCGCCGCCGCCATCCTGCAGACGCTGCTAGACAAGAAGGCGGCGGGGCGGCTGTGCCGGTGCATAGAGGACGCGCACAGCGGCATGGCGGCAGGTGTGTGCATGCTGCTGCGCCTGCTGATGCGGCCGCCTGCCGTCCTGGGGGAGCAGCTGCATGCAGAGCTGAAGTTCCGGGAACAAAGAAGGAAAAGAAAGGAAGAAAAAGGAAAGACACCGGTGTGCGCTCCTGCCCGCCCCCTGCCCCTGCAGGCACCCAAGACGCGATCCAGGGCGCGCTGCTGTGCCTCTGGTCTCTCACCTGCGCCCCCGTGGACCTGTTTGAGCCGCAGAGCGGGGCCGCCTACTTCCCAGCCGCCGTGCTGAGCAGCCTGCAGGGGTGGAGGGAGCCCGCCAGCCACCCGCTGGTCAAGGCGGTGCGTGCGGGCTGGCAGGGCGCATGTAGCGGCTGGTGCACTCCAGCCGCAGCTAGCTGTTAGCAGACCAGACAGCTCTAGCAGGCACCTCTATTAGACAGCTCTAGCGGGCAGTTTTGCCAGTGCCGCCGGTGCACGTGTGACGGGAGTGTGGCGCCGCGACCCCGGCGCCACGCGGGCGACCGAAACAACGCCTCGTGCTTGCCCGTCCCTGCCCCTGCCTGCCTGCCTGCCTGCCTGCCTGCCTGCCACGCAGGTTAGGTTTGAGTGCGCGGACGCGCTGCTGAGCTCGCATGTCGCGCTGGGCGCGGCCTGCGGCAGCCTGCAGCTGCGGCAGGAGGCGAGCGCGGCCGACGCGGCGGCGGCGGCGGCGGCGCAGGCCCGCGCGCTCCAGCTGCTGCACCGCGCCTGCGTGGCGGTGCCGCAGCTGGGGCCGCTGGCCATAGCCTGCCAGGGCGCGGAGGTGGGTGTGGCCCGCCCTGGCGGAGCCGTGGGCGCGGCATGTGTGCCGCACTATTGCAGCGGATCGCTAGTCCCTTTAAACGTGTTTCCTGGCTTGGCACGCTTTCTTCTGCTGCGTCGCTGCTCCGGCGTCACCATGCGGCGGAGGTTGAGGGCAGAGGGGCAAGCAGTGCTGGCCTGGGGGCCGCTGGAGGCTCCCACTAACTGGCAACAGTGGCGGCGGCCTGCCTGCGCACCCGCAGGGTGCTCTGAAGGCTGCAGAGGGCGGCGGCGGTGGCGCGGCCCTCCTCTGCTTCTCCACCCTCCTCTCCTCAGCCACGCTGCTGCCGGCGGTGGGCGCCAGCCCGGCCCTGCTGGCGCGGCTGGGCCCCGGCGGCGCCGACCAGCTGCTGCAGCGCCTGCTGGCGCTGATGCACGCGGTGGGCGGCGACGCGCGGCTGGCGTCCGCCGCGGCGGCGGCAGTGGCCTCGCTGATTGGCCTGGCAGCAGCCCAGGCGGTGCCCTCCGCGGGCCCGCTGTCGCCGACCCGGCAAGGCGCCACGGCGGCGGCGGCCGGCCCGGCGGCGGCGGCGGCGGCACCATCGTCGGCGGCGCCGTCGGCGCATCCGCCGCAGCGGCTGCGCGAGCTTGCGTCCCTGGTGCCGGCGGGCGCGCTGCAGCAGCTGCGCCGGCTGCTGCTCTGGCAGCAGCCCGCGGAGGCGGGGGCGGCGCCGCTGCCGGCGCTGGCGGAGTTTGAAGGTTTCCCTGCCGTCAGCGGCATGCTGGATGGCGCCGCTTCCCTCGCCGCCGTCCTCTGCGCCGGCCAGCCCTCCCGCGCGCTGCAGAGCGGCGTGGCGGCGGGCGTGGCGCGCATGCTTGCGGGGGTGGGCGCCCCACGGCCGGGCGGCGGCGGCGGCGGCGGCGGCGGCGGCAGCTGGGGCGAGCTGTCTCCCGCGGGGCTGGTGGCCGCACTGCAGGCGCTGCAGCGGCTGATGCAGCAGGACGCCGGCGGCGCGTGCCTGGCGGCGGCGCAGCCGGGGCTGGTACCCGCGCTGCTGGCGGCGGCGCAGCCTGCGGCGCTGGAGGCGGCGGCGCGGTTTGTTGACGCCACCTCAGCTTGCAACCCTAGCAACAGCCTGGGCGGCACCGCGGGCGTGGCCAGCTGCCTGAACGACGGCCCCACCGCCGCCGCCGCGCTGCTGGCGGCGGTCGTCGGCACGCTGCACGCCCCCTTCTGCCTGCCGCCGCAGTCGGCGGCGCACGAGGCTGCCCTGGCCGCGTTGCAGCAGCAGCTGGCGGCCGCGCCGGCGCTGCCCGCGGTGCTGGTGGCGGCGATCAATGCCTCGCCGGCGGGCGGCGAGGAGCTGGGGGCAGCGGTGGGGCTGCTGGCGCGGCTCGTCATGGCTAGCGACCGTCTGATGGCGCCGTTTGTGCTGGCGGGCGGCATGGCGCCCGGCGTGGTGGACAAGTGAGTAGGGTATGCATGCAGAGGCTGTGCGCAGCGCGCCGCCGCCGGCGCCGCAGTCCGCTGCGGGCTGCGGGCTGCTCTGCGGCGGTTTTGGGGGCTGCGGCAGGGCCCTGGGTGCCCCCTGCCTGCTGCTGCGGTGCTCTGACCTGCTCCCGCCGGCACGGGCCAGCACCACACAAGCAGCGGGGCCCTGGGTGCATCTGCGCTGGCTGGGCGGCGGCGCCTGGCTGCCCGCCTGCGGTAGGCAGCCTGCCGCTCTCCCCGCCCTTCCCTCTCCAGTCTCCTCGGGCCCCCGCCCCCGAAAACAACTGTTATGAAAACGATTGGATGTTTTGGCAGCCTCACCAGCCCCGCCCTTACGCGCTCCCGCGCTCGGCGCCCGCCTCCCCTGCAGGCTGCTGCGTCCGGCCAACCCCAGCGCCCTGCTCATCAACAGCTTGCTCATCATCTCGCAGCTCGCCCGGTCCACCCACGCACACTACGACGCACTGGCAGGTGGGGCGGGCGCACATCATTTGTTTCTGGTTGATTGGGGGCCGGGTGCCCCGCGCCTCCTGCCTGCCTGCCTGCAGCAGCAGCAGCAGCGTGGCGGCGGCCGGCCGGCGGTGGCCTGGCCTGGCCTGAAACCGAAGCAGCAGGGCCGGGCTGGGCTGTGCAGGGCAGCCTCTGCAGCCGCTGGCGGCGTGCTTCGCCTGCCCCTGCCTTCTGGCGTGGGCCTGTTGCGTGTTTCCACTTCCCCCCACCCCCGCCCCCGCCCCACCCACGCCTTGCCTCTGCCCCCCCGCGCCCCCTGCCACCCTCCCCCGCCCTACCCGCTGCTGCAGCCAGCCAGCTGATCCCCCGCATGCCGGCTCTGCTGCGCCACCCGGATGCCAGCGTGCGGGCCCGCAGCTGCAACCTGCTGGGCAACCTGTGCCGCCACAGGTGCGGGCATGCGTGCGCCCGCCGCGGGCTTTGCCTTGGGAACGGGCGGTTCCACACGCCACCGCATGCCCCACGCTGCACTGCGCCGCACAAGCCGGGGCGGGCGGTGCCTCGTGGCACGGCGCAGCGTCCATAGCGTGCATGGGATGCGCAGCGTGCGCAGCATGCCGTGCCGTGCGTGCCGTGTTGTGCCTCCCCCGCTCCCCGCCGTCTGTCCTGCTGCCGCTAGTGTCGGCAGCCACTCACGCCGCGCCGCCTGCTGCCTCCCTACCTCCTGCCGCCCCCTGCAGCCACCGCTTTTACGCGGACCTAGAGCAGCACGGCGTGGTGGCGGCGCTGATCCAGCTGTGCCGGGACCCGGATCGAGCGGCTCGCAAGTTTGCGTGCTTTGCCATCGGCAACGCGGGTGCGTGGCGACTGCCGGGCGACTTCCGGGCGGCTGCCTGCTGGGCTGGCTGCGGGCGGCGCCCTCCTGCCCGCCCTGCCCACTCGCTTGCACGACCCCACCCACCCCGCCGTTTCAACCGCCAGCTGCCGCAGCTGGTCCCGCTGCCGCCGTCACCGCCGCTATGCCTGCGGCTTTCTTTGCTGCTCTTTCTCCCTGCCCCCACCAACCCACCCCACCACTCCACCACCCCCCACACGCAGCCGTACTCTTGCCTTTCCTCCCCTCTCTTTCAGGCTTCCACAACGCCAGCCTGTACGGCGCGCTGCGCCCTGCGGTACCGCCCCTGGTGGCGCTGCTGCGGGACGAGGAGGACCGCACGCGTGCCAACGCGGCGGGCGCGCTGGGCAACCTTGTTCGCAACAGTGCGGCGCTGTGCCCCGACGTCATGCAGGCGGGGGCGCTGCAGGTGGGTGGTGTGGCGTGTGTGTGTGTGTGTGTGTGTGTGTGTGTGTGTGTGTGTGTGTGTGTGTGTGTGTGTGTGTGCGCGTGCGTGCGTGCGTGCGGAGGGAGGGAATGCGTGTGTGTGTGCGCGCGTGTGTGCGGAGGGAGGGAGTGCGTGTGTGTGTGCGCGCGTGTGTGCGGAGGGAGGGAGTGCGTGTGTGTGTGCGCGTGTGTGTGCGGAGGGAGGGAGTGCGTGTGTGTGTGCGCGTGTGTGTGCGGAGGGAGTGCGTGTGTGTGCCAGGCGCGGAGCTGCACCCATCAACCATCCACTCTGGCGCACCTGCGGCTGGCCTAGCGCTGCGGCGATCTCCCCACCTCCTGAAGTTCTCAAGGAGCCTTCCCTCCTTTCCTCCCCGCCCTCCTTTCCTCCCCGCAGGCCATGCTGGAGCTGATCCAGCGGCAGGAGCCCGCGGCGGCGCCGCCGGGCGCACCCGCCGGCGCCTCTGCGGCGGCCGCCGCCGCCGGCTCCTCCAGCAGCAGCATGCAGATCGCGCTCTTCTCCCTGGGCAACCTGTGCGCCCACGGCGAGTGCGCCGACGCTCTGGCGCGGCTGGGGCTGGAGGCCGCGCTGGCGGCGGTGCTGCGGGGCCGAGGCGGCGACGCTACCGTGCAGCGCTACGTGCAGCGCATCCAAGCCAAGGTGCAGGCGCGGCGGCAGGCGACGGCAGCGGCGTGAGCATCTGCAGCTGCAGCGCACGCCCTCTGCTTGCCGGCGCTCATTCATTTCATGATGTGCGCAAGGGAGTGCTTGGCAACAGGGAGTTTGTGTTCGCACTTGTGCCCAGTCGGGAGCGGCAGTTTTTCAGTGCATAGAAGGGGTTGGTTTCCACTGGGCGGAGATCTGCACGCGTGCAGCCACACCACAGAGCAGGACCCCAGGCGCATGAGGGAGCCAGCGGGTGCACACCCATGCCGCCCATCCCGGTCCGGAGCGGCGCCGCAGGCTGCTTGGCTGCTCAGGTCTGCAGCGCCCTCAGCACCTCCTCCTCCTCGAAAGCATACGTCTCCCGGCAGAACTCACACATCACCTGCGCACACACATGACCACACACACTCTTGCACACAAACAAGGGCGGCGGCAGAGGCGCGCGGCGCAAAGGTGGGAGGCAGCAGACGCTCAGGGGTCAGCAGCGGCGGCGGCGGCACCGGCCGCCTGGCTGCACCTTCAGCAGCCTCCGGCGGCGGCAACCACCCACCCACCTCGATCTTGCCCTGCTCCGCCACGATCGCCCGCACCTCGCTCTCGCCCAGCAGCGCCACTGCGCTGCGCATGCGGTCCTGCAGGTCTGAGGGCTCGCAGGGGCCGTACCTGCGTGGTATCATGGCAGGGGCGGGGGCGGGGGCAGGAGTGGGGAGGGGACAGGGAGGGTGGCTGGGCAAGGCGGGGGCTTGGGAGTGGGAGGCGGAGAAGCAGGGTGGCTGGGGAAGGAGGGAACTTGGGGCTGGAGAGGGAAGCCAAAAAATCTGATTGCGTGCGCTGGCTGCGCTGGGAGGGGCGCAGGCCGGTGCCCCGTGAGCAGCACGGCCGGCAGCACGCGGCGGCAGGGCCCCGGGCCGGAGCGCGGACGCGGAAGCTGGCCGGAAGCCGCGCGGCGCGCACCGTGGCTGCAGCTGGAAGCCCGTGTCGTTGCCGCCCAGCCCGCGCAGCAGCCGCTCTGTGATGTCGCCCGCGCCCATCCCCGCATTCAGCATGTCTGTCACGCTCCCCGCCGCCGCAATGTTCTCTTCCAGCTGCGGCAGGGAGGGCGGCCAGCGGGGCGGGGGCGGGGGCAGGGGCAGCGTTGGACAGGAGGAGCGGGTGCGCGTGGGGCTGGCGAGGGGGCGGGCAGGGGCAGCAGCAGCTGTGGAACGCGGCAAGGGCGGATGGGCAGACTGACATAGAAAGCAAAAGCAAAAACGGTGCGGCAGTACATCAGTACAGCAGTACCAGCCACACCTGCGCGATGGTCTCGTCCTCCGCAAAGGGCAGCACCTGGATGAGGAAGCCGCCGGCCGCACGGATGCTGCGCCACAGGTGGCGCATGGATGGGGTGGGGAGGTGAGCAGGCACCACCGCGCCGGCCAGGCGGCCAGGAGTGCCGCTGCACAAGGCGGGTGGCCGCCGCCGCAGCCGGTCGGCCGCCGGGGCATGGGGCGGCATGCGCGCAAGCCGGCCGGCGGCCACGTGGCATGCACGCACGCTCCACCTCTCTCATAACACCACACCACCACCACCACCACACCCAACGCTGGCCCCACTGGCCCCACCAGGTGTTGGTGGTGGCACACGAGACACCGCCCCATGCCCACGCCCCACATTTCCACACCTCCCCCACCTGAGGTCTTTGGCGATGGAAACGCCCAGCCCCAGCGCCGACTGCACCTGCTCGCTGTCCACCAGGTAGCGAGCCAGGTCCTCGGCAATCTCGCCTGCGGGGGGGGGGGGGGGGGGGGGGGGGGGGGGGGGGGGGGGGGGGGGGGGT